GTTGTTGAGATGCATGAGTTCTTTATATATTTTGGAGATTAAGCCCTTATCAGATGTATGGTTTGCAAATATCTTCTCCCAATTGTTAGGTTGTGAAAAAGACTTCTTTCTGTCCAAGGCTAACCTCCCCTATGCATTCAGGAGAGAAGCCCTTCCTCCCTTCTGAGATTCAAGTCCATCAGTTATCTTTTTTCCCTTTTATTTTTAATCCGTTTTCCACCCAGTCATCTGGATTGTCTAAGACTCCTTCATTACCTCAACAACATTCAAACCACTTCAGATCTTGTCAATTCTATCTCCTAGATCTCCCTCCAATGTATTACCTCTTCTTTATTCCCACTGCCACTGTCCTAGGTGAGGCCCTCATTTCTTACCTAGATCACAAGAACTCCTTATCAAATCTTCAAAACACAAATGTCATCTTTCAATCCATAGATTGGACAGTCAGAGTTATTAATTTGTTAAGATCCCAGAGATAAAGTGGTGGGGAGAATTCTATACTGAGAATGGAAAGGATATGTTGATGGACTACCAACTTTGTGGTAGGCTGAAAATTCCAAGATGAGAAATGCTATGACAGTGGACCAAATGAAAGGAATCAGTGTGACAAGGGAAAGGAAAAAGAGAAAGAAAATAGTGGTTTTGTGAAAGCAGGACAAAGTTGGAATGAAAGCATCTGAATAATGAACAGTCTCCCCTGGTGTCAGCGGAGCTAACGAGTCACCTCAAGGCAGAACTCATGCTTATTGTGGGAAAGAGAACTGAGTATCCTGAAGGCCAACCAAAGTGGAAGGTTACAGGACCAGTAGTTTCCTGTTCCCACCCAACAAATGTCAAACTCCTCAAATCTACATACACATGTGGCTTTCCACTTCCTCTCCAGAGCCCACCCCTGCTAGATCCAACAATTTTCTCAGGAAGCAGTAATGCAGAAGGCCGGAGGTGGACAGGAGCTGTGGTCACACTGGATTACCTGCAGTCATCCAAATGGCATGTTCTAATCTAGAACAGCCCTTTACACATTGCTTCTGCCCTGACTTATACTTCTCCCATCCATTTTGGAACTCCTTTCAGTTTTAGGACAACTAATAACCTTTCTGAAGCATGAGGATAAGTTAAATGCCTCCTCCTCCAAGATCTCATCATATTTTCCACATATCTCTACTATAGCTATTAAATCTGTCTCTCAAATTGGCTATAAGATTCCAAAGGATAGGGGCCATGCGTAACTAATCTTTAAATCCCCAGCAACTAGCACAACTGACTCAGAATCTAAATGATAAATATTTATAAATTCACATTCAACTTAAACAATGAAATTATACAAGTAAAAGAGAAACTTGAGGTCATCAAACTCAGCACTCTAATCTTACAGATGAGAAAACCAAGGTTCATAATGGTGAAGGGACTGACCCAAAGTCACAGAGGGAGAGAGGGGTTAAACTGGTATTCCTTCCTTTCAGCAGACTCAAGGGCAATGTCTGGTACATAGAAAACACTCAGTAAGTATTGGTGGAATGAAATCTTTTCTTTAAATTCAAAACGTTATTAACATATGCCAGAATCTCAAAATTTCACAATACTAGCAATCCCCAACTACATCAATAAAAAATAATCTTCATCAGGGACCAGATAGAAGGAAGGAAAATATAAAGAGCACAGGGTCTTACTCATTTTAATCTCCCTTGAAGTCCTCAATTACTTTTCAAGGCACAGAGATGGCATGCTCTCAGTACCTTGAGGCAGCTTACTGTCCTCTAAACAAACTGATTTTTATAAGAGCTCATGGTCTCTTCCCATACATGTGAAGACTGTATTCGCCAAGCAAAAAGATCGTCTTGCTACCTCACACCCATCAGAATGGCTATAATTAATAAGACAAAAAATAACAAACGTTGGAGAGGATGTGGAGAAAAGGGAATCCTCATACACTGCTGGTGGGAATGCCAACTGGTGCAGCCACTATGGAAAATGGTATGGAGATTTCTCAAAAAATTAAAAATAGAAATACCATAGGACCCAGCTATGCCACTGCTGGGTATTTATCCAAAGAACATGAAATCAACAATTCAAAGAGATTTATCCACCCTATGTTCATCGCAGCATTATTCACAATAGCCAAGACATGGAAGCAGCCCAAGTGCCCATCAATGGATGAATGGATAAAGAAGATGTGGTATATATATAAAATGGAATACCACTGAGCCATAAAAAAGACAGAGTCATCCCATTTGCAACAACACGGAGGGACCTTGAGGGTATTATGCTAAGTGAAATAAGCCAGACAGAGAAAGACAAACACCGAATAATTTCACTCATATGTGGAAGATAAACACATGGATAAAGAGAACAGATTAGTGGTTACCAGAGTGGGGGAGGGCAAAAGGGGTAAAGGGCACATATGTATGGTGACGGATAAAAACTAGACTAGTGGTGGTGAACACGATGCAATCTATACAGAAACTGATATATAATAATGTACACCTGAAATTACATAATGTTATAAGCCAATATGACCTCAAGAAAATAATTAAAAAAAAAAAGATGGTCTTGCTGGTGGTGTTAAGAACCAATTATTTTTTCCTTAAAATCCAGCCTGATATTTTATTCAAATAACTTCTGGTGTGATGACCTGTTTAGCTATGGAGAAGGAACAGCATGGAGTTAGAAAACACGGGGTTTACTTCTGACTCTGCTGCTCTCTGCAATAAAAGACATGGTGCTTCCCTTCAGCACCCTCAGAACTAGAGCTCTGCTCTGTAAAAGACCAGAGCCGAGGCAGAGGGGGCTGGCTGACCTCTTCCATTTCACACATTCTACGATTCTCAGTGCCAATCTTGAGGTAACTTTCTAGAAATGCTTTTATGGAGACAAATGGGAAATTGGTCTTTAACAAAGTGCTACCTGGTAATTTAACAGTTTACTGTACCAATTAAGTAGATATGTTGATAAAGGGAACAAAGCAACCAGAGCATAAAAGATGCACGACCCATCTTACCTACCTAGTGATGCTCACATCGGTATGCAGAGAAATATTTCCCAATAAATGCAACAAATCTTTGGATACACAAAGATCAACGGATAAAAAAGGAGTGAAATTCTCATTTTAGTAGGTCTGGGGGTGGTGGTGCCTAGGAACCTTATTCTTAAAAAACACCACGGGTAATTCTGATGCACAGCCTGGTTGAGGAACATTTCTGGGAGTGATTTGGTAACTACTGTGCTGCTATTTAACAAATTTTCTCATGTCTTTCTCTCTTTCATGTTTAATAAATGATTATCGTTAATGTGCATTTTTTTTTTGTATATGTAATCTGCTCATGAAGAAAAGCACCATGGTTTACAGTAGTCCCCCTTATCCACGGTTTTGCTTCTGTGGTTTCACTTACCCACAGTCAACCGTGGCCTGAAAATATTAAATGGAAAATTCAGAAATTAACAATTCATAAGTTTTAAATTGCGTGCTGTTCTAAGCGGCATGATGAAATCTTTCACCTTCCTGCTCCATCCTGCCAGGGATGTGAAACATCTCTTCGTCCAGCGTATCCACACTGCACATGCTACCCACTACCTGCCCATTAGTCACTTAGTCGCCTTCTTGGTTATCAGATGGACTGTCAAGTTATTACAGTGCTTGTGCTCAAGTAACCCTTATTTTACTTAACAGTGGCTCCAACGCGCAAGAGTAGGGATGCTGGCAATTCAGATATGCCAAAGAGAAGTTAATGTTAACCTTTTACTGTGCCTAATTTATAAATTAAACCTTATCATAGGTATGTATGTATAGGAAAAATCATAGTATATATAGGGTTCGGTACTATCCAAGGTTTCAGGCATCTGCTGGGGGTCTTGGAATGTATCCCCCATGGATAAGGCAGGACTATTGTAATTCTATTTGTTTTCCTGAGACCGCTTAGCACTGCACTGAGCACGTTATCACTTTGAATGACTTTTTAGTGTGAGTGAAATGTCTGGCAGGAAAAGGCAGGCTTTCAGGGAGAGGACCAGGCAGACGCTGTATTGAGTCTTTCAATAAAAGAGCATAGCGCAGTGCTCTGGGGAGTGGGCCAAGTTCATGGAGGCAGGGTGGTTCAGTGAAAACTGATGTGGAATTTAAAGTCAGGAGACAGCTGTGCAGATTCTGGCGACATCATCTGATAGTAATATGCCTCAGTATATAAATGTTCCCACACCCATATTTATAAAATACTGTAGGTCTCACACTGAAGTCTGACAATAAAGAGAAAAACAACACACAAAACAAAGACAGGACATGACACTAGATAGGCACTCAATTAATGCTGATGTCCTTCCTTTGTCCCAAGAAAGAAAGGCTATCTCCATTCTCAGAGAGACGGCATTTTCGGGGAGAAGAAACCCCAACTCACCTGGAACTCGGTCATTTCCTCCTCTCAGGAAGGACAGAGTCCTGGAAAGGTAGAGTTAGGGAGAGAGAAAGAGCCATGAAAATCAAGTCCACCATGCAGGACACACACTAGCCAGTCCAGCAAGGCTGTGGGAAAAAAGTTCCTCAGCTCCTGCTCCTAACCACTTCTCAGTCAGCCCGTCACCAGCCTTCTCCAGAGATGCCATTCTTGTCTCCCTCACCTCTCTCCACAGGGCTTAGGATCAAGCCGGCCAAGCCTTCCCCCAGAAACCCCACCAAACCCAGGAGGGCAAGTAAACTCTGCAGCCCCCAGCAGCTCTAAGATGTGTCCATTTCCTCAGGCTTTCCCATTTCTGCCCTAAAGTTCTAGTCGGAGCAGTAGGAGCTCTCCCGTCGGATGTGTCGCATCTCCGGATGGATTCTGACTGCCCGAGATGCCTTCCCCACCTGACTCGTTTCTGGAATGCAGAGGCTCAGATGCAGCCTCCGTTTAGCGAGGACAGGGCTGTGGGGGCAGAAACCTCGGCTCCCTCACAGGAGCCCCTCTCGGTCACCTAACATCCACTCAAAACCTCCTTGAGTAAGGCCAGTCACTGGCGCGGAAAAGGCCGTGTGGCAACGACGAAGCCCCCAGGCCGCCCAAGGCCGGAGCTCAGCCAGGCGCGAGGAGGGCCCCTCCGGGCGGGGGCCGGCTCAGCGGTCTGGGCCGCCTCGTCTCAGGTGACCGCAGCCCGGTCTGGGGTACGCAGCGGCGGCCGCGGGGCCCGGACACACGTGCAGCCCCGGACTGCACCTTCGCCAGGTCGCGCGCCCTCCCACGGCCGCCCCGCCAGGCTTCCAGCGCCTCCCCCGCGGCGCTTCCATATCGCAACCGCCGGACGCCTCCCTGCCGGCGCTGGCGCCCCATGCCTCTCACCTCCCACGTGGGAACAGACACCTGGGAGCGCAGGATTCCGTATACTGTCCCGCGCCCGCCGGCGCCTAGGACCCGGAACTACACCTCCCAGAAAGCCGCGGGCGGGCCACGCCCACTTCCGGCGTCCTCTTCTGACGCTGGTCACCGCCTTCGCGAGGCGCTGCACCGAGGGCTGGTTCCCGTGTACGGGGTTCGTTTTCATGGTAGTTTGTCAGCGGCTAGTTCATTCAAGTTATCCCCTCGGTTATTTATTACAAACGCGGAAGAATTATTTTAGGAATATCTATTAAAGTGTTTTCGTTTTGTTCAAGTGCTACTGGGGAAAAAGAAGGTAAATATCACCCGTAATTTCGCCTTTACTTTTAAAAATATTCTAAAACGAATATGTGCCGCTCGGCTTCTCCATCTCACCTCCGAAGTTCCTTTATTTAGCCAGCATTATTTGAGGGCCTATTATGTTCCAGGAACTGTTCAAGACGCTTAAACAAAAATCATCGTGTATGTTAATTTCTAGTGGGGTAAACAAGCAATACCTAATTAATGATAAATGATCTAGTGTGTTATAAGGTGATATGAATTATTAAAAAAGTAGACCCGAGTCGGGGGATTGAGGGGCGCTAGTGTGTGTGTGTGTGTGAGGGGGTTGTGGGTTGGGGGCGTACTTCTCAATTTTAAATATGAGATATTGGAGCAAAGACTGAGGTCATGGGGGGAATTAGTTATGCGACACTCAGCAGTCAGAACTGTCTCCTGAGCGTACACAGACAACTATTTATACATACAGCTATACTTTTTAAACAAAAATGGGGTCATGCCATATATATGGGCCTACAGTTTGCTTTTTAAAATTTGATAATACTGTGTATCATAAATTTACCAAAGAAACAAACCTCGTCCCCGAGACCCTTTTAGTTGTTAATAATGCTTTCAAGGGAGTGGCGCTAAAACCCTCCCAGGCTCTGTCTCCATTACCTTCACCCCTCACTGAGTGACACAGGGCCACTCATTTGGTCCCTCCCTAGTACCTTCCCTTCAGATTTATTCTGGAGGTCAAAGAGCTGTTGCTTAGACCCCTCCTCTCTGTCTTTCCTCTTCCTTTGGTGTATTAGTTTCTAACTGCTGCTGTAACAAATTGCCAGAAACTTAGTGATGTACAACAAACAGAAATTTATTCTCTTATGGTTCTGGAGGTCAGAAGTCTGAAATCAGTTTCACTCAGCTAAACTCAAGGTGTCAACACAGCTGGTTCCTTCTGGAGGCTCCAGAGGAGGATCTGTTTCCTGGCCTTTTTCAGTGTCTAGTGAAGGACTATATTCCTTGGCTTGTGGCCTCTTTCTCCATCTTCAAAGCGCATGACTCCAATCTCTGCTTCCGTCATCACATTACCTTCTCTGGCACTGACTCCTCCTGTGTCCTTCTTATTAGGACTGATGTAATTACATCAGATCCACCTGGATAATCCAGGACAATCTTTCACATCATGATCTTTAATTTAATCACATTTGCAAAGTCCCTTATGCCATATAAGGTAACTTATGCCTTATGCCATGTAAGTCACAGCTTCTGGGGATTAGGACATGGACACATTTGGGGGCCTACCATGTGGGGAGAGGCTCCTCCTCAGAGCTGCTCTCCTACCTTTTCTCTGGGGAACATGAAATGTCTCCCTAGGACCTTACTCCTCTCCTCAATCTTCCCTGATCCATTGATTCTATCACCTTTGCCCTGACTCTCACCCCCTGTTGTTCTCACTTCCTTTCTCACCCAATTGAGAAGCCATAGCCCATCATTGTAATCAGTCATTTGCATATAGTCAGCTCTCTTGCCCCTATCTCACTTGGTTTTATTCTCCAGATAAAACACCAAACCTGGTTGAATACAATTCCCTGCCTATTTCATGCCTGTGCCTGTGTAGCAGATGTGGCCTGAAAAAAATACATGGCCCTGATGATTGTTCTCACTTTCCATTTATGACCACTAAGGTCAGTGTGCCCTTAATGCTGCCCAGCGATCCCAGCACATTTTCTTAGTCCATCCATTCTCCTAAATGACTATTTCACAGCTTCTTTTCTCAAGCCTCCAATAAGTCCTCCCATGTCACTCACAGCTGATGACTTTGCTTTCTATGAGAAAAGAGAACTTCTGTACCTTCTCACAAGCACATCTGCTACCTCTCTGTATTGGAACCTGTATGCTCTACTTTCCATTCTGAATGAACAGCCCCAGTTCCTATTTAAGAAAACTCTCCATTTGCACCCTGGATCTTATCCCCTTTCTCACACATGGGGGCATTCCCCTCTCTCTTCTGTATTGTCAGTTTTTCATTCTGTACTGAATTATCAACATACTAGTGCATATGCTCTTAAAAATACTAGTGAATAATATCTCCTATAAAATACCCATTTGTCCCCCACCCCAATTCTCTCCAGCTGCTATCCATTCTATGCTTCACTTGACTGAAAAAACTCCTAAAAAATTGTCTTTAGGAGATGTTTCCAATTCCGTTTCTCCCATATTCTCTTGAACCCACTTAAATTAGGTATTTTCCCCTACCAATCCAATGGAAAAGTCACCATTAAATTTCAACAACCTAGGTTCAAAATATATAAATCAGAAACTTTTAGACAGGAGAAATTGACAATTACTATCGTAGTGAGGTATTTTGACATACCTCTCATAGAAAAAATCAAGTCAACAAAAATCTGCTTGGGATATAGAAAATCAGAAAAATACAGTTAGCAAGCTTGATTTAATAGTTAGATATAGAATAGTAGACCCCCAAATCAGAAAATAAGCATTTTTTAAAAACGTGAAATAGTCACAAAAATTGATCCCATTAAAAATGATAAAGAAAATGTCAACAAGTTTTGAGGAGTTGATATTAAATATCAACTTTCACTTATCAATGTGGACTTCAGACGGACCCTCTGTCTAGATGCTAGCCCATAAATCTGCTGCCCACTGGGTTTCTAACATCACCTATAAAAGTGCTGAACTTTTTTTCTGTGCATCCCAGAGGTTCTCAAATATTACTTAAATAGCAAAAGCTAGTCTCAGATCCTGTGAAGGAAGTGGCAGCCTTTTGAGAAAGGCCTACAGTTGGAGCCAATGCTGTTTGGAGTATTTAAACCATATAATGTGCTTTCAGATAAAAACCAGTTAGAGCATTTAAATGTGTCATTTGTGGCTCCAATTCCCACTTTCCAAGAACCTAAGACTGTATGTCATCTGGGTTATTTTGCCTCATAATGTGCAAATCAACCCAAGGATCTTGTCTTTCCAACACCATTACCATTTTATAGATGTAGAAAGCTAAGACAAAATGAAATTTTCCTGAAGTCACTCAACTTGTTATTGGCAAACTTTTGTAAGGCCAAAACATTGCCTCTTGTCAGGACAGTGCTTTTTTACCTAAATATCCACCCCCGAGGTAGAGTTAGGGTAGACGGGACCATCCAGAGGTCTAGCTTAAAGTTCCTGGGAGGGAGATAGGGTCAGATAATAAACAAAAGGACAGACCTGGGACTCGTATCCTGGCTAACAGGGCAATGGCTTTTCTCAGATTCTGCTTGTTGCTATGAAAACAGCTGATTGCTTGGAACAGGAAAAGGTCCACTTGGAAGAACATGTTCTTCATCTAGTGAGGAAAAAGAAAGACAAGAATGGCAGGCAGCCCAGATACCAGTGAAAAATCTTGGTTCTGTCTGTGTCTTTTAACAAATTAAGCACAATAATTAGCATATATGTGTCAAACACTGTATCTTTATCTCATGTAATCTTTCCATACACCCTAATGAGGTAGGTAGTGTGACCCATTTTACAGCTTTACATTTTAAAAGCTTTAAGAAGCATAGTGTCTCATAATAAGGGGCAGAGGATGGATTCAAACCTAGTTTTGTTTTTTAGAATCCAAAGCACAAAGTTCTTCACAGTTGACTCCTTTTATTATTACCCTGCTTTTTAAAAATCATTCTCCCCTCCAAGACTTGGTTTTGTCATTTATAAAAGGGAGCCAGTAACCATAGCCCCTTTCGTTGAGACCCACAGGAAGGCAACGGAGGTTAGAATGTTTTAGGAACTTTCCAGGGCTCTGTAGGGTTGAGGGTAATTATCACTGAAATGTGATGCTTTGTACTTAGAAAATGTCAGGAGATGTTTGTAGGGATCAGTTGAGGGGCCTCAGCAGGGGTTAGTATGGGGAAAAAGACATTCACATTGTATTCTGCAATTTAGAATCCCTAGAGAATGATCACATTTTCTCACTTTATACAGGGGGTGGTGGGACTTTGGGATGTACTGAATGGCATTCTGCTGACAGTGATCAACCTGCCCACAAACCTATACTCCATATTCATTCATACAAACTATATATATACATGCAGTCTGTACCCGTTACAGTATGTTCCCACATAGCCGTAGTTGTTCATAGCATGTGTTCATGCTCTCACCCACTATTGCTTGTAGATTGCATTATTATTCCCCATTTTTTTTGGTTCATATATATTTAAAACAATTATAGATTCATAGTAATTTGGAAAAAATGTACAGGGAGGTCTCTGTACCCTTCACCCAGTTTCTCCCAGTGGTAATATCTTGCATAACTAAATTTTGTAATTTTCAGGATATAGATCCTGTACATGTTTTGTTAAGTTTATATCTAAGTATTTAATTTTCTTTGGAAAGATCATAAATGATGTGTTTTTAATTTCAGTTTTCACGTTTGTTGTTTAGTATATAGCAAATTAATTGGTTTTTGTGTGTTGGTCTTGGATCCTGTGACTTGCTGAACTCAGTGGTTATAGGAGCGTTTTTTTTACAGCTTCTTTGACATTTTCGACATAGTCAACTATGTCAGCTACAAATAGAGACAGTTTTCCTTCTTTCTTTCCAATCTGTATCCCCTTTATGTTTTTTCTTACCTACTGCAATAGCTAGAGCTTCCAGCACTATGTTGAATAAGAGATGTGAGAGCAGACGTGCTAGTTTGTTACCGATCTTAAGGAGACAGCGTTCAATCTTTAAGTGTGATGTTATTTTAGGTCTTTATCAATTTGAGGAA